CGCGAGGGGCGCGGGGTGGACAACTCGATTCTAGGGCCAGTCCGGCCCCACCCCCCACCCCCGCCTCCCTTCACATCGGCCCCGGGAACCCCCAGCGTCCCATGGCCTAGCCGGACCCCCACTAACTCCCGTCGAATGCCACGGTCCGCGCTAAGGACGGTGGCCTAGAGGGGTCTCGCATTATTACCGCCGCTGCGACTCCGGTTCTGGCTATGGGGCGCTCCCTGCCTCCCTACTCCCCTCCGCTTTGGGCCGCCGCCGCCGCCGCCGCTTCTACTTCCGGCCCCGCCGCGGAAGCAAAGGGAAGCCAGTTCCGCCACGCGCCGGATGTGGCGTCATACACGCTCGTCTCCCTCCCTCCTTGCGCCCCCGGCACCACTTCCCAAGTCTGAAATCGGGAAGGAGCGGGAGGAATCGGGTGGTTGCTGGAGGCAGCGGAAGTGTTTGTGGGCTCAGCCGCAGGTGATGTTGGGCTGTTAGAAATCCTAGATCAGTCCCCTCCCATTTCATTTTATAAATATGTTTAAATTTAGACAACTTTCTTTTTTCTTTTTGAGACGGAGTTTGGCTCTTGTTGCCCAGGCTGGAGTACAGTGGCGCAATCTGGGTTCATCACAATTTCCGCCTCCCGGGTCCAAGCGATTCTCCTGCCTCAGCCTCCCGAGTAGCTGGGATTACAAGCATGTGCCACCACGCCCGGCTAGTTTTGTATTTTTAATAGAGACAGGATTTCTCCATATTGGTCAGGCTAGTCTCGACTTCTGACCTCAGGTGATCCTCCCGCCTAGGCCTTCCAAAGTGCTGGGATTACGGGCGTGAACCACTGCGCCCGGCCACAACTTTATTTTTTTCTAAATTAGAGATAGGGTCTCGCTCTGTTGCTCAGGCTGGAGTCCAGTGGGGCCATCATAGCTCACTTCCATCTCGAACTCCTGGGCTCAAGCGATCCTCCCTCTTCGGCCTCCCAAAGTGTTTGGATTACAGGCCTGAGTCACTAAGCCAGGCCATCCCCATTTTAGCTAGGGAAACAAACAAGTCGAGCTGGGACTAGGCCTTGTAACTTTATGTTACACTTTAAAAAAAAAAAAAAAAAAAGCCACACATTTTGGTTATTTATCTGCCACCACAATCCTTGGAGGATCCAACTTTCTCTTTTTCAATATTGAAGCCCCAGTGCTTAGAATAAGGCCTGGTACGGTAAGCATATAGAAATACTTGTTTTTTTGTTTTTGTTTTTTGTTTTTTTTTTTTGAGACGGAGTTTCGCTCTTGTTGCCCAGGCTGGAGTGCAATGGCGCGATCTTGGCTCACCGCAACCTCCGCCTCCCGGGCTCAGGCAATTCTCCTGCCTCAGCCTCCTAAGTAGCAGGGATTACAGGCATGCACCACCACGCCCAGCTAGTTTTTTGTATTTTTAGTAGAGACGGGGTTTCACCATGTTGACCAGGATGGTCTCCATCTCTCGACCTCGTGATCCACCCGCCTTGGCCTCCCAAAGTGCTGGGATTACAGGCTTGAGCCACCGTGCCCGGCACAGAAATACTTGTTAATACGTAGAAATACTTAATACTTATTCAATGGATGAAGGAAGCCCAATTCAAATCTCTTCCTGTGCCTTCAGAGAAATCTTTGCCATTGACAACTATAGAAGTTAACAAATTGGAGTCCACCTTTCCTATGTCAAGCCTGTGCCTCAGTCAGCATGACTTCTGTGATTCCAAAATGTTCCCCTTGACATTTCTTAGTTGCTTTTCCTTCTTTCTTTTTTTTCTTTTTTCTTTTTTTTCTTTTTTTTTTTTTTTTTTGAGACAGTCTCACTCTTTTGCCCAGACTGGAGTACAGTGGCACCATCTTGGCTTACTACAACCTCCACCTCCCAAGTTCAAGCAATTCTCCTGCCTCAGCGTCCTGAGTAGCTAGGATTACAGGCATGTGCCACCACGCCCGGCTAATTTTTGTATTTTTAAGATGGAGTCCTGCTCTTGTTGCCCAGGCCGGAGTGCAATGGTGTGATTTCGGCTCACTGTAACCTCCACCTCCTGGCTTCAAGTGATTCTCCTGCCTCAGCCTCCCAAGTAGCTGGGATTACAGGCATCCACCACCACACCCAGCTAATGCTTGTATTTTTAGTAGAGCCAAGGTTTCACCATGTTGGTCAGGCTGGTTTTGAACTCCTGACCTCAGGTGATTTACCTGCCTTGGCCTCCGAATGCTGGGATTAGAGGCATGAGCCACCATGCCTGGCCAATTTTTGTACTTTTAGTAGATATGGGGTTTCACCATGTTGGCCACACTGGTCTTGAGGCTGGTCTCCAACTTGTGACCTCAGGTGATCTACCTGCCTCAGCCTCCCAAAGTGCTGGGATTACAGGCTTGAGCCACCGTGCCCACCTTAGTTGCTTTCTATTGCCTGAAAGTTTTATGCCTAGGCCAGGCATGGTGGCTTACACCTGTAATCCCAGCACTTTGGAAGGCCGAGGTGGGCGGATCATAAGGTCAGGAGTTCACAACCAGCCTGACCAACATAGTGAAACTCCGTCTCTACTAAAAATACAAAAATTAGCCAGGCGTGGTGGTGCACACCTGTAATCCCAGCTACTCGGGAGGCTGACTGAGGCAGAAGAATTGCTAGAACCTGGGAGGCGGAGGTTACAGTGAGCGAAGATCATGCCATTGCATTCTAGCCTGGGCAACAGAGACGTCTCAAAAACAAAAAAGGTTTATGCCTTTTTTAAGGAAGGAAACTGGCTCAGAGAGGTTAAATAACTCATTCATTGTTTGTTTAACTGTGGATTGGGGATTTTACATTGAAATTTGAATCCGGGGCCAGGTGTGGTGGCTCAAGCATGTAATCCCAGCACTTTGGGAGGCCAAGGAGGATGGAATGAGCCCAGGAGTTCAATACGAGGCTGGGCAACAAAGTGAGACCCTGTCTATCAAACAATAAATAAGAAATTTGAACCCAGCTGGGCATGGTGGCTCACACCTATAATCCCAGCACTTTCGGAGGCCAAGGCAGGTGAACCACCTGAGGTCAGAAGTTTGAGACCAGCCTGGCCAACATGGTGAAACCCTGTCTCTAGTAAAAATGCCACCAAAAAAAAAAAAAAAAAAAAAAAAAAAAATTAGCTGGCATAGTGGTAAGATTGTAGTCCCAGCTACTTAGCACTGAACCGGGAGGCAGAGATTGCAGTGAGCTGAGATTGTGCCACTGTACTCCAGCCTGGGCAACAGAGCAAGATGCCGTCTCAAAGAAAAAGAAAGCTGTGTCCTTAGGTCTGTTTTTTTTTTTTTTTTTCTATCAATTACTTTTTCAGGAACTCAAGTATTATCATAAAATTAGGAAGTCCAGGCCGGGTGTGGTGGCTCACCCCTGTAATCCTAGCATTTTGGGAGGCCTAGACAGATGGATTACCTGAGGTTGGGGGTTTAAGACAGCCTGGCCAACATGGTGAAACCCCATCTACTAAAAATACAAAAAGTTAGCTGGTGAAGTGGTGTGCACCTGTAATCCCAGGAGGCAGAGGTTTTGGTGAGCCAAGATTGTGCCACTGCACTCCAGTCTGGGCCACAGAGCGAGACTTAGTCTCAAAAAAATTTTAAAAAGTCCCAAACTCCCAAACTGGTATCTGAAGTTTTCTGCTTCTCTAGTCTCGGAGTCTCACTGTGTCACCAGGCTGGAGTGCAGATCTCAGCTCACTGCAACCTCTGCCTTCTGGGTTCAACGGATTCTTCCACCTGTCTCTCGAGTAGCTGGGACTACAGGTACATGCCACCATGCCTGGCTAATTTTGTATTATTAGTAGAGATGGGGTTTCACCATATTGGCCAGGCTGGTCTTGAATGCCTGACTTCATGATACGTCTGCCTCAGCCTCCTAAAGTGCTGAGATTACAGGCTGAGCCACACCCCCCCCCCCACCACCTAGGATCAAGTTTTTATATTCTTAGAAGGTTCTAGGTAAGTCCATTCTACCTGAATCACTGCAGAGATTCTGTAGGTCCAGAGAGCCGATATAGTCACTGTACGTCCCAGCCTGGGTCATTAGGGAACACCTCAAGTAATGGCATGGGGGCCTCATTCTCGATTCGTGGAATGCAGCAGCTCTAGGGGCTCAGTTCTTGACCTGAAGCCGGAGCTCTACAGCTGAGCTTCTGTAGCTGCATTATCAAGGGGGCGCTGGAAACAATTCAGGGTTTTTCATGGGATTCCACAACCCAAAGGAGACTAAGAAGCCCTCTCTAATTCCATCTCCTGTTAAGATGGGAAAACAGAAAACTCAATAGCGTAGATTAAAAAGTATTGGTGGGCACCGTGGCTCACCTCAACTAAAAAAATACAAAATTTAGGTGATAGTGGCGTGTGCTAGTAATCCCAGCTACTCAGTAGCTGAGGCAGAAGAATCACTGAGCCTGGGAGGCAGAGGTTGCAGTGAGCCGAGATGGTGCCACTGCAGTCGTCTGGGTGACAAGAGTGAGACTGTCTCAAGAAAAAAGGGAAAAAAACAAAAAAGAGATGCACTGAGACTCCTTTCCACCAAGAAACAATTCAGTCTTTAGCAAGAGCCTTAGGTATAAGTTGAGAGTAACAGCACCTACTTACATAGAACACCCATGTTGCCAGGCTCATGTCACTCAAGAAAAAGTGAACTAGTTGGTAGGTTTTGTCACAGGGGTCTTCTGCGCCCCCTTGAATTCTGGGCCTAAAAATGAGGCTAAGGCTGCAGCTTTGTAAGACATGAGCAGTTACAACCATACTCCCTGACTGTGAGTTCCATCTGATGCTGCTAAGTGAAGGGGCGGAGCCTTGTAGTGGCTCAAAGAAAATGTCACAAGCTCTCGGCCTTTCTCGAAGCCCTGGGCACATAAAACAGCAGGAAGGTCCTTTCACCTTTCACCCCTTTCTTGCCCAGAAAGGAAGGACGTAGAACAGGGGGCCTTTCTTCTGGGCTCTGCTGCCTCTGCAGGCCCTCCCCTGCATTAAGACACTGCAAGACACGGATGGCAGACTCCCCCTTAAATAGCTGTTTATTGGCAGTGTGCTGGAAAGGGCGATGGAGTTAGCATTCACAGACGACATCACACAGCACTGTCACAAGGGAGGCAAGAGCGTGGGCAAGCCAGCCTGGAACCCCGGAGTCGAAGGCCCCCTCTTCAAGAGCGTGTGGGAGGGGGCGGGGCCTGGAGTGTTGGGGGCTGCCTGGGAACACCTCCGCTTAGTAGGCGTGGTTAGAGATGAAGAGGGACTCGCTGGCAGCAGCCCCAGCCTGACCACTTGGGGTGTACTTTCCTTGACAGGCGAGGCTGTTGGCCTAAGCGGGGAGAGGAATGGAATGAGAAGGGTTCTTCTCCGAGTCCCACCCACCCAGGCACCCAGCCTGCCTCCCGCCCACAGCCTTACCAGGGCGCGCTTGATGTACTCCTCCTGCGCCGCCTTCTTGTTTTCCTTCTTCCCACCCCAGGCCTTCAGGGCAGAGGCCTGCAGGGCTCGGCCGTAGGAAAAGGTCAGGGCCCAGGGCTTCAGCAGGGGGCACTTGTTGATGGCGTTCAGGTTGATGGATGCCTCCTCCTCACTCTGGCCTCCAGAAAGGAAGGTGATCCCTGGGGAGCAGGGGCGAGAGGTGGGAGGGGCTGTGGTCAAAGACCCAGGAAGCTGGCAGGAGCTGGTAGAAGCTGCCATGGAAATCTGCCAAATGGGCATAGGGTCATGGGTGGAGCTCATCTACTGCCATGTGTCAAGATGAGAGTGTGGGCCTCACCAGGGACAGCGGGGGGAACTGTGCGGCGCAGCGCTGTGACAGTTGCCATGGCAATCTCCTCGTGAGAAAACTTCTGAGTGCAGGCGTGGCCTGGGGTAACCATGTTGGGCTTCAGCAAGGTGCCTTCCAGGTAGATGTGGTGGTCGCTCAGAGCCTTGTAGACAGCAGCCAGCACCTGGAGGAGAGCAGGGGCACGGGGGGTGGAGGGGAGGACAGGGCCCCCTCCCAGCCACCCTGCATTGGTCAGGCAGGCAGTCACCTACCTTCTCGGTCACATACTGACAGCGCTTCAAGTCATGGTCCCCATCAGGGAGGATTTCAGGTTCCACGATGGGTACGATGCCATTCTGTGGGGTGAGGGACAGGGTGGCTGTGAGGCCTCCTAACTTGGGAGTCCCACCTACAGCTCCGCATCGCCACTGGCCAAGATCCTATCTCAATGATGCCAGGGACCTCAGGCTGCAAAGCCTTCAGCAGATTACAGGAGGCAGCCACCTCCACCTCCTCAGATCCTCTCCCAATCCCTCCTCGGCCCCTCGGCCTCACACAGCCCTTGAGTGTCCTCTACAGGCCAAGGCTGATGCTTGCCTGGGGAAGGCAGGCACCGTGGTGGGTGGCTGGCAAGTTAGTGACACTGGAACCAAATAAGCGGGAGGCCTACTGGGGACCTGCAGGCCCACCTGCTGACAGATGCTGGCGTAACGGGCCAGGACGTTGGCATTTTCCATGATGGCGAGGGCCGAGGGGGTGTGCTCCCCAATCTTCAGCACACAACGCCACTTGGCGAAGTCAGCGCCATCCTTCTTGTACTGAGCACAGCGCTCGGACAGCCCATCCAGCCCTAGGAGAAGATGGAGGAGTCAAAGCGCAGTCGGGAGGGGCATGTGGTTTTCACTCCTCCCTGCACCCAAACCTGCTTGGGCTGGGTTTGTAGGACAGACAGACAAACAGTTCTCACCTTGGGTGGTGGTCTCACCATTTGTCCCTGCCAGGGGGACCACGCCCTTGTCTACCTGTTGGGGTTCGGGGGAACAACATTAAGACATAAGAAATGACCTCTAGCACCCTTTCCACTGTCGCCCAGGATGGAGTACAGTGGTGGGATCTCAGCTCAGTGACGCTTCCACTTCCCAGGCTCAAGTGATCCTCCCGCCTCAGCCTCCCAAGTAGCTGGGACAGGCGTGTACCCTTTTCCTCTTTAATCCCAAGCTTCCCCCAAATGTACTTAATCTCTTAAACTGCATCTCAGGGCTTGTACATATTTTCTTTCTTTTTCTTTTTTTTTTTTTTTTTTGAGACGGAGTTTCGCTCTTGTTACCCAGGCTGGAGTGCAATGGCGCGATCTCGGCTTACCGCAACCTCCGCCTCCTGGGTTCAGGCAATTCTCCTGCCTCAGCCTCCTGAGTAGCTGGGATTACAGGCATGCACCACCATGCCCAGCTATTTTTTTTGTATTTTTAGTAGAGACGGGGTTTCACTATGTTGACCAGGATGGTCTCGATCTCTTGACCTTGTGATCCACCCGCCTCGGCCTCCCAAAGTGCTGGGATTACAGGCTTGAGCCACCGCGCCCGGCTTCTTTCTTTTTTTTTTTCTTGAGACGGAGTTTCGCTCCTTACCCAGGCTGGAGTGCAATGGCGTGATCTCGGCTCACCGCAACCTCCGCCTCCTGGGTTCAGGCAATTCTCCTGCCTCAGCCTCCTGAGTACCTGGGATTACAGGCACGCGCCACCATGCCTAGCTAATGTTTTGTATTTTTAGTAGAGACGGGGTTTCACCATGTTGACCAGGATGGTCTCGATCTCTTGATCTTGTGATCCACCCGCCTCGGCTTCCCACCCAAAGTGCTGGGATTACAGGCGTGAGCCACCGCACCCAGCCTACGTATTTTCACTTAGTTACGGTAACTAATCCTCTGAGACAGGATACTCTGGGATGTTATTTAACAACAAATGTTGACTGAATTTGATGTCAGGAGACTGGGGCTCTGCCACTTACTAACTCTGTGAGCAAAACACTTCACTTCCCTGAGCTTCTGAGACTTTCGTCTGTAAAGTAGGAATAAGACTCTTCTCTTAGAATCATGAGGATTGGGTGGGTGCAGCGGCTCACGCCTGTAATCTCAGCACTTTGGGTGGCTCAGGTGGGCGGATCAACTGAAGTCAGGAGTTCGAGACCAACCTGACCAACATAGAAAAACTCTGTCTCTACTAAAAGTGAAAAATTAGCCGGGTGTGGTGACGCATGCCTGTCATCTGAGCTACTCGGGAGGCTGAGGCAGGAGAATTGCTTGAACCCGGGAGGTGGAGGTTGCGGTGAGCCGAGACTGCCCCATTGCACTCCAGCCTAGGCAACAAGAGCAAAACTCCGTCTCAAAAAAAAAAAAAGAACTGTGAGGACTAAAAATGCCAAGTAAATGCCTTAAGCCTGAAGCAGGATCCCTGCAAGTTTCTAGGCCTCCAACCCAGCATTCATCCCCTGCCTCAGTAACCTGGATTTCCTTCCTTCACCTCCAGCTCAAACCTCACTTCCTGAGGCCCTGCCCCTCACCTTGATGCCCACAACACCGCCCTTGGATTTGATAACTTGGGGGAAGGGACGCCCATCATCCGCCTTCTGGTAGAGTGTCTCGTGGAAGAGGATGACGCCCCCGATGCAGGGGTTCACCCGGTCATCAGCTGTCAGCAGCAGCTGACGGTAGAAGCGCCGGTTCTCCTCGGTGTTCTCAGTGCCAATGGACTGCAGCCGCTTGGCAATGCTCCCTGGGAGGATGTGTCACATGGGAATTAGGGGATCAGCCTGCCACTCCCAACCCTGCACCCTCCACCCGTTCTGTCTCCTGCCCGCACCAGTGGACTCATCTGCAGCCAGGATGCCCTTGCCCGGGGCAACGATGCGGTGAGCGATGTCAGACAGCTCCTTCTTCTGCTCCGGGGTCAGCGCTGGATATTGGTAGGGCATGGTGCTGGTGGTAGCAAGTTCCTGGGTACAGGAAACAGAGAGAGAGAGGATTGGTTAGCTGGGCCTTCTCATGATCTCCCAATGAGCAGGGCCCCTCGCCTGGAGGTCAGGACAAATGTTCCCTACTTCCCCTGCCCCACACCCAGTAGGCCCTGGGGGCACTTCTGGTCCCCAGGTCTCCCGTACTCCCGACTTCCCTATGCTAGGCCTGCCCCTGTACCTTTCCTAACTCTGTCTGGTGCTGGGTGTTGCCCAGCTGAGGGTGGAGTTGCCCACTGGCAACTGGGGGAAAGGAAAAGGCCATAGCCATGGACAGGTGGGTCATGTTGAAGCTGGACCCTTCTGGCTTGCGCCTTGCCATGGGGTCACCTTGCCTGAAAACAAAACCGAACCGGAGTATTTTAGAATGTAAAGGTCGTGAATCAAGCAGAGGGCCCAACACCCTTGTGGGAAAGGGCCCAGATAAGGAAAAGGTCTGTGCTTCAAGCCACACAGCAACCCCGGAGCCAGATCTGAGATTAACCCAGCTCTTCTGACTGCCACTGGGGCATTCCTTCCAATCCACCCAAGATCCCAGGGCTGGCGGGCTCCAACCCTTCAAGGACATCCCAAGGTCAGGGTTTTCCCCACAAGGGAGGGGGCGGGTGGTAGGAAAGGGGTATTAGGAGAAAGATAAGAGGGCAAGGAGAAGCCCAGGCAAGGGCCCAACAAGTCCTAGCCTGAGGCGAGGAGAGGAAAGCGGTAAGCTTTGCTGTGGTTACTTCCTACGGGGCAGAGGGGCAAGCGCCCCATCCCTTTCCAAGAAAAATGCTCCTGTCGCTTCGCAAGGCTGTCGCTGGTTCCGGGCTCAGAATCAAGGTCGCCCGATAAGGAAAGACGGAAAGTGTTAATGGGGCATCAAGCGCCACCGAGGGGTTTCCCCTCCTCGCCAGGGGCGCCCAGTTCCGCAGGGCAGGAACCAACCTCCCGCTTGCGAGAACCCTGGGGGTGTACACGGGCCGGCCCTCACCCCTCACTGCCTGTTAGGATCCCCGCCGAGACTAAGGGGCCCTAATCCTTTGCCACAGGGGTCCCTGCAAGAAAAGGGGAGGGGAATGGTCCTCCATCTCGTCTGGCTTCCTCCCCCGCCATGACTCAGCGCGTGCAGCGGCTGCATTGCGCAGTTAGGTGACCTCAGGGTGGAGGGGCCGGGAACCTGTGTGTGGCCGGTAGTGGGGAGACGCTGGCATGGGGTGAGAGGGGGGCTCCACGCGGACGCCCAAGCCGCCACTGCCCTCAAGATCCTTCTCCACGGTCCTTGGTCCCCGCACGTGAAGAGGGGCGCTCACCTGGTACAGGAGAGGGGCGAGTGTGCGGGATCTGGCAGCGGAGGACGGCGGGCTGGCGAGTGGACTCAGGGAGCGAACGCGGCACTCGTCACCAGGACCCCTTCTGCGGCGCGTTCCGAGAGGAACGCAGCCGAATCAGCCTCGGAGGGGGCGGCGCAAGGGGCGGGAAGGAGGAAGGCGGCGCTCGGCCTTTTAAAGGCACCACTCCGCCCTCCGCCGAGCTTTTTCCTTTGCGGGGAGCGGGCGGCGTCCAATTGCAAGCGAGAGAGTGGGCGACGGGCCGCCCCCGAGAGGCGCAGCCCAGAGGCCGCACTAGGGACAGGACAGGAGGTGAGAACACGATTCCTCCCCCGCCCCCCTCGGACGTGACTCGGGCCACATCCCGCGGGTCGCCAGGGCCCTCCCCTCCGCTCCTCTTCCCCCGCCTGGCGCGCTCTTGGGCGCCGTGACTCAGCCAGAATATTAGCACCGGAGGAGTTGGGGACGGGAAGGTGGGGGATGCGGATGGAAGAGTCGGAAACGAAGGAGGCTGGGCTTGGCCTCCCAGGCCCAGCCCGCGGCCCGGGGCAGCCCAGCTTCCGGCCTGCGCGGCTGCAGCGCGTGTCACCACCGGGGCCGCACAGCGCAGTCGCGCGTCGGCCTGCCTCGCCCGCGGCCTGGGCCCTGCAGGGCGCGGAGCCGATTCCGCGTCACCCGTCACTAGCCCAGGCGTAAGAGAGGCGGAGGAAAGGGCGGCGAGAGAATACGCGGAAGCGCGAGAGGACGGCGCAGGTGGCGCGGCGCGGAGGCTAGGCCTCCCCGGTGTGGGCTCCCGGCAGGCGGGGCAGGCTGGGTCGGGTCGCGCATGCGCGCGCGCGCTCCACCGGGGCGGGCACCCTGCACCACCGAAAACCAGACTGCGCAGCCATGTACCGGCCGCTGCTCGGTCTCGGGCATGCGCGGCCGCAGTCCCTGCCAAACGTCTTTCTTGGACCTGACTTCCTTCTCCAGAATAAAATCCGTCCCCGAGCTCATCTGCCTCAGATGCTTTCTGAGCCCCCAGCTCCTACCGTCCAAGTCTCCACTCCTCATCCGGACCCATCAGGACCCTGTCGGCTCAACCCCACCCCCACCCCCACCCCGGCCAGGTCCTGCGAGGGACCCACCTGCGGCGAGGCTGAAGAAGCCGGCAGAGCCTGGTCAGCAGCGAGTGAGCCAGGGGTGCCCGGGCTGGGTTATAAGGCGGCTCCTGCCCGCCCCGCACCAGTGTCCCCGACCTTCTCCGATGACCTCTGCCCTTTTCCCGCCACGGATCCTCTGGCAGGAACCTATATTTAGGGAAACCTGAAGCCCCTGACATTCACACCAGCGTGGGGCCTGGCCTGGGGGAAGGGGGAGGAAGGCTTGGGTCTGCCCTATTGACAGAGAGGGAGCCCCTGCCCACTTACCGGTGCTTCAAAGGAAATATCTTCCTTGGAAATCCAGACAGAGGCTCTTGGTTGTCAAGAGAAATAAATCTCTGGCTAGGGATCTGTCGGAGCGAAAAGGGGTGAGGGGAGTTGGATCACGTGGCCCCCCTGCCATGCTCCTTGGCTCCTTCTCTAATCTCCCTCCTCCCCTGACTCCCTGCAGTGTTGGTGGCTGTAGTGATTCTCTGGAGCCTTGGGGTTTTGTTTTTTTTTTTTTTTTTTTTTTTTTTTGAAGGAGAGTAGATACTGGCACTACACTCACCTCCTAAAATAACAGTCCGTGCACGAAGTGTGGTTGGCACACCGATGAGTACCCGGTACTCAAGGCCCAGGCTCCTCTGTGTGGTGAGCAGTGCCACCCCCCTGCCCACCTTAAAATAGAATCGTTCACTTGGGTAGGGGAAGGGGAGCCAGGGCACCTGCTGGAGCACTAGCCCCTCTTCTGGCCCTCCAGAGGAGCTGCCGTCCAGCTCGTCAAGAGTCCTGCCCCTCAGGGAGCCAGGCCCTGCACAGCCACTTTGAGTTCCCAGGCCTGGGTGCTGGGCAGGCCATTTGTGGTTCCAGTGGCCTGGAGAAAGGTGTCCTTCTGAGGTCCCTCAAGAAGGAGGGCACATGGGCCCTGGGGGCTGGCCGCTCCCCAGAGGGCAGGACACTGGGTCCTCATCGGAGCTTGATCTCGAAGCAGAGACAGTTGAGGCTCTGGCAGTCGGGAAGCTGGCACGTACAGGCACAGTCGCAGAGTGGGCAGCAGCGGGGGCAGCGAGGTGCCCAGTCCTGAGGGAGGAGAGAGAGGGGTGTGAGGGAAGTGGGATGGGGCCAAGTCTGTTGCTCTCTAAGGAGAGAAGGGAACAGAGAGGCCTGGGAAGTCCCACTTGCCCAGTAGAACAGAGGGTACTGTCCCTCATTCCCAGGAACAGCAATTGCCTGTGCTGTTGAAAAATCAGCAGAGTCCTTGTTCTGAAAACTGAGATCAGGAGCTAGAAGCAATAATTTGGGGGGTCTCTCCTTCCCATTTTATGGGTGAGGAGACTGAGAGCACAAGACCAGAGAGCAACTGGCCCTGGGTCCCGTGCTAGAATTTGGGCCTCCTGATGTCCAGCTGAAAAGATGGTTCGGCCACAGTCCTGTGGCCTGTGCAGCTGGGTCAGAGAAAGCACAGGTTTTTCTGTCCATCATGAAAATGACTTGTGGGCTTTATGAACTTCCTTGGTATGAGACCAAACTAGAGTCTCATTCACCATTTTCGAGCATCTACTCTGTACAAGGCACAGACAACATTCATGAATGATTTTAAAAATCTTTCTAGGTTATTTGAAACTGGCAATTCACATATTTTTAAATTTTTTTTTTTTTTTTTTGAAACAGGGTCTCACTCTGTTGCCCAGGCTGGAGCCCAGTGGTGCAATCTCAGCTCATTGCAGTCTGTGCCTCCTGGTTCAAGTAATTCTTCTGCCTCAGCTTCCCAAGCAGCTGGAACTACAGGTGTGAGCCACCATGCCCAGCTACTTTTTGTATTTTTAGTAGAGATGGGGTTTCACTATGTTCGACAGGCTGGTCTCAAACTCCAGACCTCGGGTGATCCACCCACTTTGGCCTCCCAAAGTGCATGGATTACAGGTGTGAGCCACTGTGCCCGGCCATTTTTTTTTCTTTTCACTCTTGTTGCCCAGGCTGGAGTACAATTGCTCGATCTCGGCTCACTGCAACCTCTGACTCCTGGGTTCAAGTGATTCTCCTGCCTCAGCCTCTGAGTAGCTGGGATTACAGGCATGTGCCACCAAACCTGGCTAATTTTGTTTCTTGGTAGAGGGGTTTCTCCATGTTGGTCAGGCTGGTCTCGAACTCTCAACCTCAGGTGATCTGTCTGCCTTGGCCTCCCAGAGTACTGGGATTATAGGCATGAGCCGCTGCACCCAGCCATATTTTTAAATTAAAAAAATTTTTTTTTTTTTTTGTGAGACAAAGTCTTGCTCTGTTGCCCAGGCTGGAGTGCAGTGGCCTTATCATATCTCACTGCAGCCTCCATCTCCCAGGCGTGCACCACTATACACAATTTATTTTTTGTTTTTTATTTTTAGAGTTTTGTTCTGTCACCCAGGCTGGAGTGCAGTGGCGTGATCTATGCTCACTGCAACGTTTGCCTCCCGGGATCAAACGAGATTCTCATGCCTCAGCCTCCCGAGTAGCTAGGACTCCAGGCATGAGCCACCACACCTGGCTAATTTTTGTATTTTTAGTAGGGTTTGACCATGTTGACCAGGCTGGTCTCCAACTCCTGACCTCAGGTGATCTGCCCACCTCAGCCTCCCAGAGTGCTGGGATTACAGGCATGAGTCACCCCACTGGACCATTTTTTGTATTTTTGTTTGTTTTGAGATGGAGTCTGTTGCCCAGGCTGGAGTGCGATGGCGCGATCTTGGCTCACTGCAACCTCCGCTCCTGGGTTCAAGCCATTCTCCTGTCTCAGCCTCCCCAGTAGCTGGGATCACAGGCACCTGCCACCACACCCCACTAATTTTTTGCACTTTTTTTTTTTTTTTTGAGACGGAGTTTCACTCTTGTTACCCAGGCTGGAGTGCAATGGCACAATCTCTGCTCACCGCAACCTCTGCCTCCTGGGTTCAAGCAATTCTCCTGCCTCAGCCTCCCGAGTCACTGGGACTATAGGTGTGCGTCACCATGCCCAGCTAATTTTTGTATTTTTAGTAGAGACAGGGTTTCACCACGTTGACCAGAATGGTCTCGATCTCGACCTCATGATCCACCCGCCTCGGTCTCCCAAAGTGCTGGGATTACAGGCATGAGCCACCGCGCCCGGCTTTTTGCACTGTTTTAGAGATGAGTTTCACTGTCTTGGCCAGGCTGATGTTGAACTCCTGACCTCAGGTGATCCGCCCACCTCGGCCTCCCAAAGTGCTGGGATTACAGGCGTGAGCCACCGCGCCTGCGCCATTTTTTCTATTTTTTTGTAAAGACAAGATTTCACCATGTTGCCCAGGCTGGTCTCAAACTCCTGGGCCAAACCCATCTTGGTTTCCCAAAATGCTGGGATTACAGGTGTAAGCCGCTGCACCCAACCAATTTAATGTTTTCAAAAGAGTTATATCTCTCTTAATTATCAGAATCCTGAGTAATCTCTTACAAAAGAGAAAATGGATGGCTGGGCACGGTGGCTCATGCCAGCACCTTAGGAGGCCAGGACAGGTAGATCACTTCAGGTCAGGAGTTCGAGACAAGCCTGGCCAACGTGGCAAAACTCCATCTCTACTAAAAATACAAAAATTAGCTGGGCATGGTGGCACACACTTGTAATCCCAGCTATTCAGGAGCCTGAGGCAGGAGAATCACTTGTGCCCGAGAGGGAGAAGTTGCAGTCAGCCGAGATCGCACCACTGCCCTCCAGCCTGAGCAACAGTACAAGACTCTGCCTAAAAAAAAAAAAAGGAAATGGAAGCACAGACAGAGAGGTAAGTGATGGGAATGGAGCTGGGATGGGGATGGACAGTCCTGCCTGTGATCCCTCTCGAGCCTTCTGCCTCCCAGTGCCAGGAACATCAGCCTCTCTGGGTGGGCCAGGACATCCCATGTTCTCCACTGAGCTAGCATGGGACTCATGCTCAGCAGGCATCTGAGATACAGATGAATGCTGAATGAATGGACAAATCTAAGCATATCATTTGTCCTCTTTAGGCAAAGAAGAAAGAAGAGGGCTTCTCAGCTCCTGGGGGAGACAAGGACTGTCTTGTGGGGAATAGGAACAGATTGTCCTTAGAGATGGGAAGAACTGGTCTATCCAGCACACTGCTGTCCAGCCCTAGGACAGGATGGCCTGCAGCTGCCTTAGGCATGGCTGGAGCCAGTCCAAGGCTGAAGTGGGACACACCCAGGATGGCTGTGTGACAGAAGACTGGCTCCTTGAGGCCAGAGGCAGTGACAGTCACAGTTGTACAATTCAATCAGAAACTTGGCCAAGCCAGGAATAGGGGAATGACCTTTCCAACAGCTGAGGTTTCGGGGTGCAGTGTCAGATGGCTGGTGAGATCATGTATCATCAGAGGCTGCAGTGAGGGGAGGGGACCTGCCACCTGCAGGGACAGGGGTCTGAACTGGGCTGTGCTACTGTCTAGAGAACTCCCTCCTTGGGGGAGGCTGGAAGTGTCATGGTGGAAAGGAGAGAGAGAAGTGATTTTCTTGTGTCTGATGAGGGTGTGGTTTGGGGTGTCTCTAGGGAGTCCCAATCTGGGGATGAAATTGCCTCTGTGGGTTTTTGAAGGACCACACCGCCGTTCTGTGCACAGACCCGTGGTTGAGAGAGGCTCTGCTGCCATTACCTCAGAAAAGAGGGTATTAAAAGCATTTCTTGGCTCTCTCCCTTGGAAGGGTTTAGATCTTGTCATTAATAACTGGCTAATGGATTTCTCAACTGTTACAAGCAGCCATGTGGCTTCTGGAAGGAATCTGCTGTTTAAGTACATTAAACAAGGACTCCGCAAGACTGTTAACCCTTGTGTCTCTCTGGCTTTCAGGAGAGTTTTTCACTTGAATTTTTTTCCCGTTGACTCTGAGAGCTGGTCATCATCTCTATTGGTTAAAGCTTGGGCCCTAGAGTCAGTAAGGCCTGGGTTTGAATCTCAGCTTGGCTAATTCATGTTTTCCTCGGTTTCCTCATCTCTGAAACAAATATAACACCTAAAGCTGGGTGTGGTGGCTCACGCCTATAATCCCAGAACTTTGGGAGGCCAAGGTGGGCGGATCACCTGAGGTCAGAAGTTCAAGACCAGCCTGGCCAACACGGTGAAACCCTGACTATATTAAAATTACAAAAATTAGCTGGGCCTGGTGGTGGTCGCCTGTAGTCCCAGCTACTAGGGAGGCTGAGTCAGGAGATTCACTTGAACCCAGGAGGTGAAGGTTGCAGTGAGCCAAGATCGCACCACTGCACTCCAGCCTGGACGACAGAGACAGACCCAGTTTAGAAAAAAAAAAAAAAAAAGGAAAGAGAGCTATTCTTGTCATCATAGCTTCTTCCCTTAGCAGTGCTTCTTACCCTGGTGTGCATGAGAATCCTGTGAGAACTTGTGAAAGATTCACAAACTGTAGTCCTATCCCAGACCTGATCGTGGGGCCTGGATGTCTGGCTTTCCTTAAGTCTCATACCTGCTTCTGATTGCATGCAGAGCTCAGCAACCACTGCTCCATAGCACATCATTTCTCACCCTCTGTTTTAATGGTCTAGTTACTTCTCTCTTTCAGTCACCAGAACGGAAGCCCTGCAAGGCTGGGGGCCTTATTTATCTTGTTTCTGCCGAGCACCTAGGGCCCTAGATAGTGACTACAGTAACTCCATAAATCTTTGGTGAGTGAGTGAATGAGTCAGTGAATGAATGAAAGAGATCCTAGCAACATGCCCGTGAAAGAAGCAGAGCAGGCAGGTTTCTCCCTCGGTAAGAGAAACCTGGGTTTGTGATCCGGCTGGTCCAGCCATATAACCTCCAAGTCACTCCAGCCTCTGTAAGCCTCAGTGTCTACAGCTACAAAATGGCACAAGAGATTTGTAACCTTGGACAGGCGCGGTGGCTCACGCCTATAATCCCAGCACTTTGGGAGGCCAAGGTGGGCGGATCAAGAGGTCAGGAGATGGAGACTGTCTTGGCTAACACAGTGAAACTCGGTCTCTACTAAAAATACAAAAAATTAGCCAGGTGTGGTGGCTATAATACAGTTGCTCGGGAGGCTGAGCCAGGAGAATTGCTTGAACCGGGGGGGGGGGGGTG